TAAATTTTCGTAATCAAAATGAATCACTCGCGTAATTCACGTTTAGTTACGTATACGCCCCACCACAATTTTGTTTACAATGAGCAAATTAAATTCTTTTTCGTATGCAGGTACGTATAAATCAATCAACATAAAAATCGATAACAAATTGGCTGGCTAGCCATCAATTTATGTGCGATAACTTCACTAAAACGACGAAAAAATTAAAAATGCTAAACACACAAAACCCCACGCACTTTTAATACATACACAAACATACATGATTATAGTAAATTTTGAAATAACCCCAATATGAAACGTAAATGAATTTATTTGCCACAATGCTATTTAGATACGATTTTCCTGTCGCGTGATAGCAATACCAAATCAATAAGCATTGCACAAAACGCTGTCAATACTGGTATCTTATCAATTTGTTTATGGAGTAACACAAATACATACATACTTTCCCAACATGTGAGCAATCAGGTACTTTTGTTATTATTGGCAGCTGCTGCAACGTCATCATCACTGACTGCTGTCTGTCTGGTTGGTTACTCCGCTTACATACTAGGCTATTGGGCATTTTGTAACGCTTCATATCGCGTTCATATCGCGATTATCGTAAAGTGATCGCTTTAGTATATGCTTTTACACCTTTTTTCAACTACATTTTTTTCTGATTGATGGCTAAATGTCAGCGTTATAATTATTTGTTGTGTGTCTTTTTTATTACCAAGTTTTTTTTTACTGTTACGTCGATTCGGTTGACTGCGACACAAGCTGTATTAAATGCGTGGTGTTAATGTATGAATACCTGCTATACATCTGTACACCCCGTGCTAAAAATAACGCATCAGGGGCGAAATTTAGCTTTGAGTTACGAAATTTTGTCTTGTAGAAAAATTTTACAGCAAGTTGTTTGCAACCAAAGCTCAGTATGCCGTATTTCGAAAAAAAAAATAAATAAAAAAATAAAAACAGGTAATTTTTACGCAAAAAACCGACTTCAAATCTCATATAAAAATTTAGAAGTACCGTTAATTTTTTCATGATCCAATGATCAGATCTAAACCAGGTTAAAATGGGACCACCTCTGAGACACCACCTTTCCAATGCATAAAAGAAGTTTCGAAATCGGTTGACGTGGTTCAAAGTTATGCGGTAACATACATAAAAAAAATAATAAAAAAATAGTCCGACGAACTGATAACCTCCTTTTTGAAGTCGGTTAAATATCCAACTCGCTTGGACTTCTAAAAGGAAAGAAGGAAGTAGTAGACCGAAAAAAGCCACTGAGCACGAGGATGGGAAATATGGAACGGTTAAGTTTGCACAGCAGATTCCAAACCGCGAGGGAATTGAGAAAAATCCTAGCAGACTCTACATGGATACAACTCGCACTTTAGCCCGACGGCTTAACCAATTGAATAAAAAAAGACTTACCTAGCCGTTTATTCTACTTCCTTCGTAACACAGTTTTGCCGTCGGGTTCAGTCAATTTAAATTTAAACTCATCTGAGAAAATTACCCTTTTCCAGTTATCTACACCCCATGATTGGTTGGGTCTGGCCCATGAAAGTATTTTTTCTTCATTACTGTGGTCATAAGTGCTTTTTTGCAGGTCTGCTACAGTGCTTATTTGTATCGAATGAGAGTCTTCTCGATTTATTCTCAACCTGATCTGCAAACATTGCCGTTCTAAAATCAGATTTTCGTTCCCATTGGTTTTTTCGGCCTTTCGCTCCCTTCTTTCCATTTTAAGGACCCAATGAGTTTTGGTTACAACCAACTTTCTGAACAATTTTGAATTAATGCGGAATCTTCGCGTTTGCGAATACAAATATATTTATCTATTTATTTTTAACCGACTTCTCAAAAAGGAGAAGGTTATCAGTTCGTCGGAATATTTTTTTTTATGTATGTTACCGCATAACTTTGGACCACGTTAACCGATTTCATCGGAAAGGTGGTACCTCAAGGGTGGTCCCATACTAATTTTGTTTATATCCGATAATTGGATATTGAAAAGAAATTAACGATAACCTTAAATTTTTATGTGAAAATTGAAGTCGGTTTTGTTTTTTTGCTTAAAAATTACTTGTTGATTATTTAAATATATATGTTTATTTATTTTAAATAATTTCAATTTAAAATGTATTTAGTCCGATCCATAAGAGAAACCACACAAATAAAAGATTCAAAGCGTTCACACAGTTTACAAAAATTTATCAATTTTCAAAACAAAAAAATCATAAAATTTCAATTTTTAGTATGCAGTTTTGTAGCCCATTCTATTTAGTATATAAAAAAAATGCAAATTTCAACTGGCTAAAAATTACTATCGTTCGTATATCGTATTTTTGAGAATTGGTTTTCCGATGGTGTTGCGCGTTTTCTTCCTAACATAACATATCACAATATTTATTTTTATATGGAAAAAAGTTTGAAAACTTAGTGAAATTGGATTAATTTTTGTGAACTTTATGTAAGCTTTGAAACTTGTATTTATGCGGTTTATGTTATGGACCAAAATATATTTTAAAAGAAAAATTTTTTAGATAAACATAATTGTATTGCAAACAATATCATTTTGAATTTTGCACCTATTGTTTTGTCCATAAGTGTATGCAGATATGTGAGGTTGTTTTAGTGGTTGTAAGTTAGTTTATGGTAGAGTATTTTTCATAATTGCATGCGTGTGTATAGTGTAGGGCTTTGTTTATACAAAAAGTTTATTAATTGTGTAATTTTTGTCTCATTATCGCTTAGATAAGATATCATTAACTTTTAATTGTGCGGTTAAAATGCTTATGTAAACATTTATGAATATATGTAGATGTGTGAGGAAGAGGAAATTGACCAAGCAAAAATAAATAATACCTACAGGTTTGAACAAAATTGTTCACTATTTCGCTTATGGACTTCAGTGGGTTTAATGCTAGACACATTTCAGAGCCAAATTTCTCAGTCAGTTTTAAGGCTGCCTGAAATATGGCAGCAATGTTTCCTTCATTGCAGCCCACCACGTAGATTACTAGCTTATCTGCATAGCCACAAACGTTAAATCCGTTGCCTGTTTTGTTTGGCTTTGCAGGAACTCTGCATACTGCCTCCTAGTTCCTACTGCCTTATAGAGATGCCGTTTTTAAATCGATTAAATCGAGGATCGATTGAATTGAAGATCGATTAATTGAGCCCTTCCGATTCGACCTTCTGTCGATTTTTTAGTTCCGATTCGATTCGGGAATCGATTCAAAAAAGTTGATAATCGACATTCGATTTTTCCTCAATTGATGCATATTGATCTACGGTTTACCTCAGAAAATCAATAAAATTTTAAAGAAATTTGAATTGGAGGCTGGTACAATAATATAATGGCGCATGACATGACACCTCCCACCTTTCTAACTTGAGAGAGCAAAGACCAAAGAATTCAATGACCCGCCTCTATTTCTCCTCCGACTAAAGGGCTCCTCAGGGAAGGGTCTAGGAAATATTTCTATATAAAATTATGGCTAATACTACAACAAAAACTCCAAAAATCGGAATTCCAAACTGTATGGAATTTTTTTAGAAAAATTTTGCACTCCTTAATTACTGTTTTTAGAAAAAATTTGAGAACGCAAATCTTTTCTAAAATGGATAAATAGAGTTAGCGAAAACAAAAAAAAAAAAAAGAGCGTCCATTGTATTATTCACTTTTTAAACTAGTGGTTAATTTCGAAGTAAATCATAATTTTTTTTCATTAGTGATTTAAAAAAAAAAAACAAATTTAAGCATTTCCTTAAGTAGGTTTAATGATGAATTTCCACTAAACTTTAAATGACAATGTTGGGCACTACGTTCATAAAAGTAACCAATTAGTGCGATTTATGAAACATCGCAAAATAGCATTTTTAGTGAAATTGCAACTTTGCGTACAAAATTGCGTGAACGACCCTATCGCAATTCCGGATTGAAAATGTATTTTTTTTTTAAATGTTGCGCATAAGTGAAAAGGAAGTGCTTTTACTATTACACATCTTGGCAAATTTTTTATTTTTATTTTTTTTTTAAATTTTTACAAAGTATTTACGAATTTTTAGCTACTTGATAGCTTTTGAATAAATGTGGATATTGAAGCCGTTATGAAAAATATACATATGTATGCATTAAATATACAATAATAGTTTGGTCAGATCGCCGTGTTTTGTTTCTTTGTAAAAATTAAGGACCACTCAACACAATTCGGCCTGTGGAACCCTTAGATTTGGACACGCAAAAATCGTATAAGTTGTTTTTGGAATAGTTTTGAGGAACTTCTGATCACAGTGCTGCCGCCGAACGAGTGACTATATCAGACGGATCTTGCATTCTGCTGTATATCTGCAAAAAAAGTTATCGACTGTTTCTTGTTCGTTTTCATTCCTGCAGCTTCTACCGACCAATGCCCAGTAAGAACCGATAATATCCTCGCAACGTCAGGTCTGGGTTTTCCCAATGGTCGCGTGCTTTTTTAGGGTTGTATGCCGGCCAGATGGATGGGTTTGGCTTTATGCCTTGCACGACCTGTAATCCGAATTCGGAATTTCCGGGTCGCTGCGATGACCTCGAACCTTAACTAAATTTTCTTCGAAACCACCACCAACTCTTTCGAAAGATTTGTACACTCCATAATCAGCTTCAACGCTGTCCGAAAAAATTGGGACTCACTCGGCTTGGCAGTGCACTGCAGTGTCATAAGCTATTGAGCTCCATGTTTTTGGGGAACAGTTTCAGAACTCGCTTGTTGCAGCATCTAAAACTCGAATCTCACGGGGTGTTGATGTGATGGCGGTTAATGTAACGGCTGCTCTTTTGTTAGCTTCGATAAGGCTTGTCTATGGGTATCATAATTGGAAGGTGAATTTACTTAATATATGATTTAAATACTGGGTAAATAATGTACTTATTAGTGAGTCTTTCTTGTCGCCACACTGCATATTTTACTTCGCGTATTTTCATATTTTTATGTTTTTCGCTGTATTTTTCATTGTAGGCACATTCCAAAGGCCAAAGCGACAGTCATTGCAGACACGCCCGAACTGAAGCGAATAGCTGAGAATACAAAAATCCAATCGAATGTTAAATATCACGAAGACTTCGAAAAATCCAAAGGCAAATTTACACAGGTTAGTGAAACAACTATTGGGTAGCAGCACGGTTTATAGAATATTAAATATGTAGATTAAAGTAATTTTAACTCCTCGAATACTCGTGCAGGAGTATTATTAAGCAATTTTAAAATCCATAAAAAAAATTCACAAGTTGCTTTGGTTAGAAATAGTATTTGATACAGAATATTAGAGCACTTTAGCCACTGCAAAAAATGAGTTATCTTTTTTATACAAAATATCCCCTGATTTTTCTTTAATTGTATTTTACACACATTTTTTTAAATTGAAAAAAAAAAAAAAAAAAGGTCGCCGATGATCCCGAAACATTGCGAATTAAGCAGAATACAAAAATCATTTCGAATATTGCGTATCATGGTGATCTAGAAAAGAAGGCCGCTATGGAAAAGCAACGAGAAGCTGCCGAAATAGCCGATGTGCGAGGTATGTAGCAA